GGAAGGGGTAGGGTAACCCATGATATTCCTGTATTCATCAGGTTCCATCAGAATTCGAACTCGTGACCTGTTTACAACTTTACACACTAAGAATTGCATGTGGGTCCTTCAGCCATATCACATGGATGGGCGGGGTGTTTCTGCGCGCACCGTTGATCTACAAATCGCAATACGATATGAGCGGCCAGATCGAGTCCTTGTAAAACGAATGACTCGATGTGGCTTATCATTTTGCGATTTCATCATCATTTTGCGGGCCTAGTGTGAGTGCAATGTCAGTCTCCCAAATCCCTGCGATGGAGCCACGGACCAGATATGAAACCAATCAGAAAAGGTACATTTCACTTATCTATTTTTAGCCAAAAGGCTGAGACAGGTATTCTAGAAGGTCGATTACACGGAGAGCGATTCTGTGCGCCCTCTATATTCTTGAGACATGTTTCTGCACAATGTCTATTTACTACTTGAAAATTGAAATGTGTTTTTGTGAAAATTTCATTTTTCTTGTGTTGAAAGTGAACCTCAAAAATCAAAAGGTATACCTAATGAAGTCAAAAAATGTAATCCAAGATGCCTCTAAGGCTTGTAAAGCAAACTGTCCAACAACAATTGAATTCCCTTTTGTAGAATTCCCTTTCATTCTGTCCTTCGGGACATCCGTTAAAATTGGAACGATACAGAGAAGATTAGCATGTAGGCACTCCCAACGACACGCAAGGATGACACGCATAAATCGAGAAATGGTCCAAAAAAAAAAAAAAAAAAAAAAAAAAAAAAAAAAATTCATTCTTCCTCTATGATGTTTACGGAATTTAGTTTTACGATAATCGGTAATAAAAAACAGTTTATTTAACTTTATTACCTCTACTTAAAAATTGTTAAGTTTTTTTTTTCTCTTTTTTAAAGTTTTTTAATTTTTTTTTTTCCCCAATGGGATATGAATCCGTAGGACAAATAGATTAGTTTCTTTAATTCAGTAGCCTGGGGCGAGTCAGTCCGTGCACTCATGAAACATTGTGTAAACAGCACAGTCAGCACTCGAAAAAAAAAAAAAAAACATGGGTATGATCCGGACGTCTGGATCGCAGTGCAGACGGTCTGGGTCTGGATTTCCAGGTCTGGTCTCCGGTTCAGACTGTTCGGCTCCATCCCTCCACCCCAACCACCGAAAAAAAAAAAGTCCATTTTTGAAGAAAAAATGATTTTAAAATCTGAAATATCTGAAAAAAGGAATATGTTATGCAGCGTTGCAAAAAACTTGCACTACAAAAATCTTCTGGTTGAGGACCATATTGAAATTCGAAGCCAAATCCAAGGGAGAAAAATAAAAACGTTTTTTTTTTTCTCCTTTTCTTTTCTTTTTTTTTCGGACGCGGTTTTTTCAATCCGGGTGGCGGTCTGGAGCAGTCCAGACACAGGTCCGGCCAGACGTCTGGACTGCTCCATTTTTCGGGTCTGGCATAACCACGAAAATAACACACAGAGCGCTGTTCTCTGTGTGTTCACGACTGTATGGACTGAGTCTCTGCAGACTTTTTTTTTTTTTTTTTTTTTTTTGAGTCACTGCATACTGCTGCATCGAGGAAACTTATCTGCGTCTGCTTTTTTTTTTTGTTTGTTTGTTTTTTGAGTCACTGCATACTGCTGCATCGAAGAAACTTATCTGCGTCTGCTTCTCGACGTCCTTTTCTCCCTCCCGCTGATTACTGTGTTACCAACTGGGGCCAAGGCCCACTAGCAGCGTTGAGCTACCTCAACGCCTGAATCTGGACGTTTTTGCGGAGATGTGCAGAAATGGTGTTGAGTTTCCTGAACTGCACGTCTCCGCAAACACGTCCAGATCGGCGGTGTGGTAACTGGGTGGATTAGGATTATGGGGTCGGTCACAAATTTTGTTTTGGGGCCGTGCTGAGCGTGGGCTGTTGCAATTTCCTTTTGGGTTGCGGTAGGGATAGTTTTGGCCGGGAGTGCCTTGCCTACCCCGTTTGGCTGCAACAAATGATGTGAGGGACGCTGGGCCGGTTTCCTGGCTGTAAGAATATATGAGACGCGTTTTCTTGGAAAAAATAAAAATAAAATCTTTGCCAATTTGTCAAATTACTAAAAATTAGTGCCAACCATCGGTGATAGTCCGCTTGATACCTCTGATCGGTACTAACAGGGTCCTTCGCCAACACGGGTGTGAGTGTGAGTGTGAGTGTGAGTGTGAGTGGGTTGTGTGTGGTGTGTCGGAGAGTGTTGGCCATAGAGACAGCTGTTATTCGGTTGGGGGTGGGGGACAATGAAGCGCAGCTACTGGCAAAATGCTTGGTCTTTGCAGTAGCCGGACACCCCCCACCGGCAGCGCCACCCCATCCTTGACCACCATGGTTGGGGCAGGGGGTCAACATGCAAACCCTCTGATGGCTGGAGGGAGACAACAAAGCTATGTTTGCAGGGGTCCCTTGTTTAAGCCTTAGGAGTAGTGGTAGGTAGGTAGTGAAGGTGAATTGAAAGAATTTGAAAGGTGATGAAAGATTTGAGAGAAGAATATAGCGTGGTTTTTTAAAATAAAATAAAAAAATAATAATAAAATTTAAGATTAAAAAATGAATAATTAAAATGAGAAAAGATATATTTTTAAAAATATTTTTTTCATTTTTTAATTCATTTCTGACCTGGCCTGGGCAGGCCAGTGGTCCCGGGTCACTGTGGTAACGTAGGCTGATACTGTTTGTTGTTTTTTTTTTGTTTTTTTTTTCTGTAATTTAGTTAGACGTTTTAGATCCTAACACGCTGAATTGCTGTCCTGCCTCTCACGATGGTGTATGGCACAGAAAAAGGAAAAAAGCAAAAAGAAGCGCAAAGCAATCGGAGCTGAGGACGTCATTCCGGACGCTACAACCCCTATCTTCAAAGAGATGAAGTTGATTGGCAAAGGACTGATAGAAATTGTGGCGAAAGCTCCATCGGATTCCAAAAAGCCTTGAAGGGGGAGAAAGGAGGGGGGGGGGCGAGGGGGGGAGGGGRGGGGGGGAACCTGCTATGACGACGGGACCAGCGACAAAAAAGAAGGAACAAAAGATGATGTGATGAGCACAGGGAACGAGTGACTGAGTATTCGTTCCACCAATTTTGACTCGCTCTCTACCTCCTAAGTGCTAGGAATTGATGCTTGTCCCTCCCCCACTCTCCTCACTCAGCTTTTGGGAGTAGCTGAAAATATCTTGTTTCGCTTCGGATTCCATGCATCTTTTCAGAAAGGCTTTTTTTGTAAATGAGTATTCCAGCGGTCGAGTGGCCCTTGTTTTAAGATGGAAAAAAGAGAAAGAAGAAAAGATGCTGATTGATTGTTGCATTGCATGATGCAAAATTGATGCATGCAATCAAGCTGTTGGTGTAATGCTCGGTGCCTTCTAGTGTGGCAAGGGTTCATTCCAAGGTGGGTGGTTGAATGCTTAAGATGGATGGATGGGTGGGTGGATGCTTAAGAGGGGTAGGGTTTTATTCATAATCCAACATGGCAAAAAGAATATATTTTTTATTTTTATTTTTGGGCGGTATTGCTTTCATGATATTAGGAGCATTAGCCGCAACATCCCAGAATAAAGTCCAAAACAATTGAGCTTATAGTTCTCGTGGCCATTTAGGTCGGTGGGTGGGTGTTTGGGCGAGGTAGGGAAGGTGGGCGGCCAGCTGGGCGAGTGGAGGGGGGGGCGGCGGCGGTTGAGTGAGTGAGTGTGTGGATGGGTGGGTGGGTGGGTGGGTGGGTGGGTGGGTAGGTGGGTAGGTGGCGAAAGGATGAATGGATGAATGGATGAACGGATGGGTGGTGGGAGGGTAGATGGATGGATGGGTGAATAGATGTTCGTTCAGCAATGTGTGATGTCGATAAGGTGGTTGTGATCTCTCTTGTTTGCATTGAATTGTATGTGTCCTGTTCGAAAGGCTTCGTAAGTGGACATGGTGCAGCTCCGGAGCGCATTTGTGCTGATCAAGATCATGCATTGATTGCTCTGCTCGACGGTCATGTTTTCGTTTCCTCGTACAGCCATCATCCTTTCTTATAACTGACCCCGGCAAGCCTTCCACGGGGAGAGCTAAGGCCTCGCCACACCACCATCGAAATGGGGTGTTTTTCGACCGCTGTCAGATTTTCTCCGACAGCCCCCCCGCCCTCGCCACACGGCAGGGTAGAGGAGGCCTATGTTCGAGCTGCCGTTAGCGGCTTTCATACATTACAATTTTTTTTATTTTTTTTATTTTTTTTTTAAGTAAATAGTAACTATGGCCGTGCTGTCCTGACTGTCTTCTTTCACCACCCCGGAAGAAAGCTCTTGAAACTTTGGCTGCTGCAGGCAGGCAGGAGAGGTTTGCTTCGAGGGACCTATCATACGACGTGTGGCCATCACAAACTGTCGGGATTTCTCAATTCGACAGTGGTGTGGTGGGCCCCTTAGAAACACATGGTCACAAATTCTCAACAGTGATATTAATATTAAAACTCGATGAGTGAATCCGTCGCCCGCGGCCGAGTGGTGCTGCATATAAGTTCTGCAGAGGGAACACGGAGCAGTTCTGTCGGAGTGGTCAGATGTTGCATGCCTTGTCGATCGGGCAGTACTATGTGGGATGCAAGTCAGGCAGCACACCATGGGGCAGATGGACTGGGCCGCGCTAGCAGGGCAGTGTTGTATTATGCGGCACGGGTGACACGAAGTGAGTCAGGTGGCACTATGTGGAGATGGTCATACTATGCTGATCAGGTTATGCCATGTGGCCCAGGTCCATACTGTGTGGGTTGGGCGGTACTATGTGGGTTGGCAGCTGGCCAGTACAGTGTGGAGTTTGTGGGCGATGCTGCACGGGCTGGTGGTACAAACGAACCCCCTGCACCTCCCCCCGCAAAAAACACACACACCAGAAACGGGGCTGCTATGAACGTGCGTGCAAACAGCAGCTCCAAAATATGTCTATCCCCAAACGCGTAGGTCACTGTAGCCCCTGCCACACTCAGATATTTTGTATCTTTCCATGTCACACTGGAAGGTTCATTTGCTAAGCGACGAAGCTAACCCTGGCAAAATGGAACACGCCAAAGTGCCAGTATCGTCCTCGCTCTACTACGCTCTACTAGTTACGACATGTACAAAAGACAAGACAATCGGCGGTGCATTTTCCATATTGTGCGGCCGGTACATTCTCAACTTGCACATTTGGTGAGTAGCGGACTGTGCCCGGAATGGTAGAACCATTGTCTTCCCGATTAAGGGCCTCACTCCACCACTCGTGAAATGTGGGAAATGAGAATGAATCTTTAGCTAGGGCATGGGAAGATGGTCGTGCATGACCATAAGTCACGTCTCTTGTGCAGAAGTTAATCCTGGTGTCCAAGGAAAAAACAAAACAGCAATCTATTCCAAAAATGCCAAAAAAAGAAAAGGAAAAAAAAACTGCTGTGATATATACCCTATGGGGGCCCACAATCAACCTTGTATTTACAGCTGGGTGTAGAGGGATCTGACCACCATCACATTTATAAACAGGTGAGAAAAAGCTGTGGTGTGCCTATCAGTCCACTACTCTCGACATTCACAAAAGACAAAGTATGATGTTTTAGAGGCGGATTCAGTGTCACTTCGCGCATTTCGAGAGTAGTGAAGCGAGGCTGATGATGTCGTTGCGCCTCAGGTCCATGGAAATGAAACTTCCATCCTCTCTCAATGCAGGGTGCAAAAGAGGGTAGGGTGTGCAACGGCATCTGCAACTTTTCGTTGTTAAACCACCAGTACTTGGCCCAGCTATCGATGCCGAGCCCGGAACGCTCCTACGCGCCAATTTTTGCCGAAGCGCCAGGGTACCGTTTTGATTTTTTTTGTGGCTGGCGCTTCCAGCCATTCTGGTCCTGTACGTCGAAGCCCTTAACTCGTCGCGCGTTAACGGGAAAGCGCCGCGGCTGATAGCTGGGCCAAGTATTGGTGGTTTACGAGGGTAACCTCTTAGCTTGCATATCTGACATTAGAGTGTCGAATGCAACCCTCGATACCATAGAGGGTCACGTGGTTTCGGGTACCTCATAACACGCTGCCATATTGCCCGCTCATGCTCTTATGCATGACTGGTCGCTATGATGATGCCCACTCCACTGTATTGCTTATGCGAAACCACGATACCATAAAGGGGCGTGTGGTCTCGGATACCACAAAACACAATGCCATATTGGCTGCTCATACTCTTATGCACGAGCGGTCGCTACGACGACGCCCACACTGCTGTGCTCCTGAGCGGTGGCCAACTGTTCAGTCGCTGAACAAGTTGTGGGACGAAGAGTAGAGAAGGGATCAGGTATGAGGCATGTTTGAATTTTGTGTTGGTGCAACAACATCGCGTGGCTAATTTGGATGTCCTAGTTCGATCGGTGTAGGGCCGCACCTGGGAGACCAGCACCCTAGGCATCGATTTGTGCACGGGTTCGACTCAGGCGTTAGCCATGCGTACACCCATGTTACAGCGCATGAGAAAGGCCATCGACTGGGCAACATCTTTGATTGCAAGTAAAAGCTCTCGGATGTGGATCAGTGGTTGGACGGGGATGCACCCACCCGGGGATGGTGACAACTCCTACGGGTGGAGGAAAGTTGTAACTTGCGAAGCTCTGTCTTGTCGCAGGGACTTGCGAGAGCTATGGCCGGCGGACTCGGCCGGAGCGGCACCGGCTCGAATGCCAAAATCCTGCTTGACACAGTCGGGAGGATTCCCGTGTGGGGCCGATGCGCTCAACAACGATGCATTAACCGATGGATTTTTTGTACAAGGATGCATTTTCATCTTGTTTTTGTTTTCTGGTACACTTCATTTATGTGTCTCATCCTTTGCAGGGGCCATGTTAATATTCTCTGTATCGTTCCAATTTTAACAGATGTCCCAAAGGAGATGTATTTTCAAGTAAATTGTTTCTATAACTGCTATCGGTCGATGTTGCTGATTGTATGTCCGATTCCACAACTGCCATTCATTCGCAGATTACCGTGAAACTGATCTGGGAATCGCTTGCAGTTGTACACCGATGCATTGAGCAGCCAGCACAATCATTTGGTTTGTGTTCTTTTTTTTGCGGGCAGTCCTTTCATTTATGTAGCTGGAAACTGATGCATTGAATGTTGCACTTTTTTTGTGTCATGAGCAAATTGTGATGGGAAGGATCCAAGTGCCGTTGTGCGTACTGACAAGCATGCTGGGAGTTTCTCTGTAATGCTGGCAAACATGCTGCAACATAAAAATTTCATGAATTAAATAATCATTCTATAGTAAAATTACATTCTAAATTTTAAATTTTTATTCCATCTTAAAAAATTTCATTCCAATTTTAATTTTTTTTGTCTTATTTGATAAACTTTCCTTCCACGAATGGGGTATCCCTTCTTATTTCAACTGCATGCTAGAGATGGAATGAAAGTCCGAGCGAGTTCATGAAATATTTTAATTGAAGTCTCATTCTAAGTAAGGATTTTCAGTTAAAAAAAAGGTCATCCAATCTGAATTAGAAGATATTTGTTGTAGTAAAATGAAAGTTTAATTAAAACGTTTCATAAACTCGTCCAGACTTTCATTCCATCTTGAACAAGTAGATGTAGTTGGAAGGGAAAGCTTTAGACGGGAACTTGTCAAATAAAATTGGAAATTTTAGAATTGGATGAAATGTTGGAATGATAATTTACATATATGAAGGATTTTTTTTTCATGGAACGTTTTTTCAACTTTCATTTCTTGTGGGAATTTTTCTGTTCTGGGGGTTCTTGGATCGGGCACTCCTTTATTATTATTGTTATTAGTATTTGGAAATTGGAAGCATCCTCCAATCTATTTGTGGGGAGCAACACTTGTTGGGAACCGGGTCCAGCGTCCCATTTGATAACATATTGGAAAACATATGCAAAAATAGATAGAGATATCGGGGCCATTACCCGGTTTCGGTTGAGACTAACCTATTCAACAACACAGCTGTGAGTTCAGCTACAATGTAGAAAAACTATGAGAAATCTCTTTTTTGAACACTTAGAATACCACGTGACCACGATCCACATAGACTCCCCGAGCCTTCGAAGCCTCACACTTATCTCCAGAGAAAGAGGAGGGGGGAGGGAAACCCCACCTCCCTCCCATTGGAGATTTTGGCATGGAACATAGATTCAACAACACTTGGAAGGCACCCATAGAAGCTCCCTCACCTCGAAAAGACAACCCTCTCGATGAACTCCGCAGGGACGAGCCTCCTTCTCCTCTCCGGCCCAAGTTCAGAACAGCCTCCTAGATGGACACTCCTTCCTCAATGACATGCAATTTCCCCAAGAGCATGCCCCCACAGGGCTGAAGTTCCCGCTGTCCCACCTGTCCCACTCCCTCAATATAAGATCGCCCACCCCAACACTCACCCTGCTGAAACAGCAGCAGATCCCTATGTCCTCTCTGCACTGAACCGCCGAGGTTGATTTGGCCCTAAATCAGCCCAGCTCCAGAGAAGGCAAACCCTCCTTACCGCACAGCTCCTTATACATAACTGCACCTTCCACCTTGTGCAGTCCTCATAGGGTGGAGCTTCAACCCAGAGAAAGTACAGCGTCGGA